TGCCATTCCAAGGTTGCAAAGGAGAAGAAGAGGTTGTTGGAGAGACTAGAAGTGGTGCTCAAGTGTAGATCTGAGCTTTGCAAGGGCTAAAGCTTCATTTTCAGGTATAAAGTTTGGATCTTGTCACTTGGTTCATGTTGTATGCTTTAGATGTCATTTTCTAGGGTTTAAGTCCCAAAGGTGGAGACTTTTGTGCAAATGGCCTCCATAAGCTTAGATACTTCGTATTTCTGATCTTTTGGAGTTGTAGACTCATAAAAATGGCATCTTGGACGTGGGTATTGCACCATGCATGTGATCTAGGTCCTTGAGTTTGAATAAAAGGTTGTTATGTGATGTTGGAGCCTTTACAGCCATGCCAAGGCTTAAAGGTCTCGACTTTATGGATTTAGACACACTAAAGGAGTTGGATCTGGAAGTTGGAGTAATGACTTAACCGATTAAGAGCAGAAATGAAGAGTGGCTGATTCTGATGGTTACGCTGGGCGTAACTTCCAGTACGCTGCGCGTACTGGGTGGAGACCCCGATCCAGGGGGTTGGCGATGTACGCCCCGCGTACATCTAGCAGTACGCCCCGCGTTGACTTTTGTTGACTTTTAGGGTTTTGGTCAACATGGGGACTTTAGGTCAAGGAAGGGTAAAATAGTCTTATACCCTTTGAAGAATGATGATAAAGGATAAAGTTTAAGTGGTGGAAGTCTTTCCGTATTAAATAATAATATTTTTATGTTTATGTGAGGTAGAATCGTCGTTGAGATTCGGTGATAGCGAGGACACGAGATCTTAGACTTTCCACGAGGTGAGTTTTCTCACTATACTGTACCCGGAAGGGTTTGACTGTGTGACTGGAAGGTCGAATATGATATGAGATATATGTATTATATGTGATAAGTTATTCGTGACGGAAGTCCCCTGAGACACATGGACCGGAAGGTCAGGGCCTGGAAAGGCATATGTGCGTAAGTTGTATTTTGGGAAACTCACTAAGCATTTATGCTTACAGTTGTTGTGTTATGTGTTTCAGGTACTAGCGAGGACCGTGGGAAGGCGCCGGCGTGATAGTACACATTATCGGGGGAAAACTATTTTTATGATCTTTGTGATGTATTCGGTTGTGACAATATTGTTTACGTTTGAATTTGAAATATTAATCGATGTTTGATGTTTGCAAAAATGAAAAATTAGTTTTAAAATTTACGTCGTTACAAGTTGGTATCAGAGCCTTGGTTTACATTTCTTTTGCCCCTTCAAAAAAGAAAATAGTTACATACAAGTCTCTAGAACATAGAAAAGCAGGATGTCCATGATGTGTACGTGTCGGATGAACCAAATCCTCGTTGAATTTTATTTTTCCATTAGAAGGGGCTCGCACATGTTCTGCAGTACCCCCTGTAAATACTCCGCCGGTATGAAAAGTTCTTAATGTTAATTGAGTGCCCGGTTCTCCAATAGATTGACCTACAATAATGTTGGAATAGTGTCTAAGGCTATAACTATATTCGGTGGTGCATGGTCCTTTTGGGTTGCCTTCACCATAGCAACTTGAAGGATGATTTGTTAAGAGAGAGTAAATATTATAAGGAATAATATTTAGCTATTTGATTAATATAAGTCATAAATCAATTGGTATTAATTTGGTGACTTAAAGAGATTAATTGAATAAGAGGGTATAAACTGTCAATTGTTTGATAGTTAGACTTTAGACTATACATCCATTAGGATGGACTTTGGACGGATTCTAAGAGATTTAGGATAGCTCAAAATCGTCCATAAGGATATCTATGAATGGATTTGGATAGCCTTAAGAGAAGATTATCCAATTAGGGTTTAGGGTGAAACCCTTAAGGAGTCTAAAGGTATAAATAGGCCCTTGGGATGTGGAATTCGTGTACAATCTTTCAGAACCTAAAGCAAGGAACCTCTGGTCGAATTCCATCCCCTCTCCTCTCTCCTAAATCATCTTGCTTGCTATTGGTGTTTGTAAGCCATTAGAGGAGTGACAAGGGGCCAAGATGGGGTAACAGAGAGCCAAATTATTTTAATTATGAAGACAGCTCACATACAACTAAAAATTCTAACTACTTGAGTAGACATCTTGACCATCTGCACTTTGTGTAATAATATATTTGAGTGCCTACCACCGGTTTTATTATGAAAATAAACATAAAACAAAATAGGTTTATATTGGATGAATTATCATATTTATGTACTAAAAAAACATCTATGCATTCCATGCTGCACAAAAACCAGTGGAGAAAGTTGTTGAAAATATGAAAGTAAGTTGTATACATTTTACGAATTTAGTCCCTCAACTTTTGAGTTAATATGGTTCTTTTGTGAGTTTTAGGGTGTGAGATGCAAACGAGTGGCAAGGAGCATGTCTTCTTTTGGACTTTATGTTCCAGGAGGCACTGCAGTTTTACCCTCAACAGCTCTCATGCTTTCCATTGTAAGAAATACTATAATAGTTATCTCCATTATTAATTTATTATGTTTAAAGAAAATCGTTGTAATTTGACTTTTAGCTTTTATTAAGTCCGCCAGCCAGATCATCTTAACTTGATGATGATTTATAAATCAACGGTTAGTCTACATTAACTTATGTAGCATACATCTTAAGAAAAAAAAGCAAATCGACTAAGGCTTAGAAAACATCTTAACAGTTAACACTTTAACACTACAACTTACTTGTGTAGCTTCATTGTTATCTACCTAATTGTCCACCATTGGTCTTTAATTGATTGTAGGAGATTGATTTGAAGTTCAATTGGGAATGATTGTAGGAGATTGATTTGATGGTCGTCGATCTGAACTGAGGCTTAGTATCAGCGTACATCGACTGAGGCTTGGGCTTCAATATCGGTGCAAATCGAGTGAGGAACCGAGGATTGTGTAGGCGACGACAACATATTCCTCCTCTCTGTGATCGATGGATTGTTTTTTATCTTTTCTCTTATCGACGAACATTGAGGGCACGGGGAAAAGAGACTAATCTTATTCTGGTTCCCATATTTCCTATACCATATACCGGTTCCACATCTATACCGGTTCTAATACCCACTAAACCTGGTCCGGTTTTTTAAACAAATCCGGTTAAAAAACCCGGATTAACCAGACCCGTTAGACCCATACCCGAAATACCTGGAACCCGGATAAGAGTAATTTTGAAACCCAATACCCGGACCGTTTAAGCAATTTCCGGGTATACCGGTTCCGATCCGGTTTTCCGGTTCTTAATCTCATCCCTAAGTGGAAATTTGGTATGGGGTAAACCTAGTAAATTGACAAAAACAATTGTTGACAAAACAAGTACACTCTATTATTAGTTATGAAGGACACGATTAAGTAATTATAAGAAATGGATTAATAGAAGTTGAGGAAACTTTAACCTTTAAGTATATTACTAGATAAAGTCGAATCAATTTGATGTTTTGTGAATTTATATACATATATGATGGTCATATAAAATATAAACAGAAAACTTTACTTGTAAATCAATAAAGGCAAGAACGTTTTAAGAACCCAAAACCGGTATAATACTGATTTTCTTACAACCAATAAAATCGTTTCTAACCGTTAAGGGACTTGCACACCTCACAAGGAAATTTCGAAAGCATTTTTGGACTCAAGCTATAGCCAAATAGTATTTGAAATATTTTTAGTAAAAATATTTTTAAAAGTTGAAAAATCAGATGTTTTCAGATTTATTAATCACGAAGCATCAAACTATTGGTTTTCGACATTATTCCTATTATTTCAGATTTTATATTTTGGAAAGACTACATGTTGTATGTTAACTTTTTTTAGATTGATAAATAAATTTCCTGCACAAATTGGAATAGCTCCATAGTAAGTATACTTATATGAATATTATGTAATGAAAATTTGGTATGTGGTAAACCTAGTAAATTGACAAAAACAACTGTTGACAAAACTAGTAAATTATATTATTAGTTATGCAGAACACGATTAAATAATTATAAGAAATGGATTATTCGAAGTTGAGGAAACTTTAACATTTAAGTATATTACTATATAAAGTCAAATAAATTTGATGATTTGTGAATTTATGTACAAATATGATGGTCATATAAAATATAAAAAGGAAAATATACTTGTAAATCAATAAAGGCAATTTTACATCGGAAGAGAGTACATTGCTATAACGGACGACAGAAAACTCAAACCCGTGGAAAATTATTAAAAAAAGATTTACTATTATTATAAAAAATAAAGGCATATTACATAATATTATTTAAAAAGGAAATTATGAACAATTTTCTATATTTATAAAAATACATACATAATCATATACACACATTCCGACATACTCAAACAAATATGTTATACAAAATATTAATATAAAACTTATGATCTTACTCTTAAAATGATTGCCAGAATTTAATGTTACTTCAAAGCCTTCTTTTATACAACCGAATTTAATGTTACTTCTAAGCCTTCTTTTATACAACCGAACATTTAAAAGAGGAAATGGATTCTTACACTTCACTATACTTTTTTTCACACGTTTTTTTTTTCACCTGCACAGACAGCTCACACAGCTATGTGGATTCTAAACCTATTCATTAAACATTTTCATTCAAAATAAGAAGACGAAGAAGACGACCTGTGACATCCCATCCCTGCCAGACCCGTCACACAACACCACCTCCCACCACTGTTTACAACCTCCGCCACCATTCACCACATTCCCTCTCTCTCCATCGTCCGTTCTTCTTTCTTGTCAAGAACAAAAACCAAGCGTCCACTTAAGCCTATCGATTTTCTGTCAAACGCAAACCCAAATATCTATTTTGGTCATTCCACAGATTCATGTTAAAACAAACAAAATCCCAAAATAAAACTTCTTACCTATTGTTGATCGGAACTGTCAAAACGAGGGGGGAAACATCCCGATTGCCGACCAAACAACACCGAGACCTCCTTTGCCCTCGCCTTCTTCCTCTTCTATCCCCAACAACTCCAGACCCCGAAGGTCTCACCTCGTCACTGCTGCTGCTCGCGACAACCATGGACCGTTCCTGTTCTTCGGTCTAGACGACCACCGGAGCATGCCACTCGGATGCGATGAGTCTGCAATCACCGGCCAAGCACCGGAGCCGTCTCCCTCTTCGTGATTGGCCAAGACGTCCGGAGTAGCAGCCGCGCGCCTGCGAGCTTCCTTCTCGCCATCTGATTTCGCTGCTCCCGTATCCCATTTTCCTTCGTTGTCCGATCGCTTTTCGCCTTCACACCTCACGTTGCCTTCGTTTATACTGCCGTTCCTTCTTCTATTATCCCGATAAACAAAAAGGGAACGGAACTTAAAAGCCCTAATTTTGATAAGTTTCGACCACTTAGACGCAATCAGTCCCTCCATGGGATTCCTTTTCATAAAAAAACCCTAGTTTTATTCAACTTTGATGAAATAACCGGAACCCATTTATTCAGAAAAGGCCCCTCCTTTGGTTATTTTTAACATAATAAATCTCAATTTTGAAACTTGGAATAAAAATAACCATTTCAGTCCCATTATTTTAACGAAAAAGCAGCCCTACTTTGGTTAATTAAATTACCAAACAACCCCAATAGTTTGTATTTGTTACGAAATAGTCCCGAGAGTATTTCAAAGTTCAAGATTGGTGGATTTGTAGTTTCTCACATCAAGCTTCCCAAAAATTAACAAACTTTGAACAATTCGAATTCACGCTACAAATGCGAGTGCTTACTTTTTAATATTTTAATTATTTCCATCGTGGAGTTAGAAATCTGTAGGAATTAAATCGTTCACTCTCTATAACTTCGAACCGTACCATGAAAGGATCATAGGTGATTGCTTACACCTCCCGATTTAATAACCTCACAAACCTTTTCCCGGGAACGGTGAACCTGAAATACAAAAATACCCTTCAGGGTACCATAACCCTACAAACCGAAAAGAACCAAGTTAGGAGTACAAAAAGGAAGTTTCATGGCAAGTCAAAGGGAAACTTCAAGCACCACAAACCCAATCAAGAAAATTGTGGTTATGAAGTTCGCAATCACAAACACTCACTCCCTCCATCAAAGCCTTACCTTAGGACTTTAGCTCACTGTACCAAGTGCAATTTTCACCATGTCGAAAATTTCATGATCTACAACATCTATAACTCAGGAGGTTACACCTCTAAGTTTTGCAGAAAGACCCCAAATAATACAAGCTCAACCATTGCAGTAGGAGGAAGCTGAAGGTTCTTCGAGTGCAATCAACCAAGGAATTATAAGAAGGACTCCGCGAAACTAGAGAATCAGGTTGTCCCAGGAAGAGCATTTGTGATAGGTGCTTGAGAATGCTCGCCAGGAACCAACTATGGTTACTAGTTCGTTTCCTACCAACAATATTTATGCTTTTGTATTATTTGATACCGGTGTTGATAGAAGCTTTATTTCCCATAATTTTAGTAGCATGATTAACCATAAATCATGCAAACTTAATGAAGCTTACATGATGGAAGTAGAAAACAACCAGTTAAAAACCACATTAAAATATTCACTAATTCCCTCTCACCCTAAATAAGCACGTCTTTCACGTCAATCTAATACCTACAACCATTGGAAGTTTCGATGTGATCATCAAAATTGATTGTTTATCACTTCATCTAGCAAAGATCTTATGTTACAAAATATCCATGGGACTACCCCTCCCCATTGAAAAGCCCTTGTGATTTATAGAGACAAATCAGGAAAGAATCTAAGAATCATCTCTTGCATGAAGGCGAGAAAGTGTTTATAGAATAGACTCTTCGCTTTCTTGGCCCATGTGGTGGATATGCAAGATAAGGGTAAGGAAATCAAAGGCATACTGTAAGCGTGCTACTTCCCGGACATATTCCTAGAGGATATACCTATAGTACCTCCATTCAGACAAGTTGAATTCTAAATCGACCTAATCCTGGGTACAACACCAGTGACAAGATCTCCTTATCATCTGGCTCTAATGGAAATACAAGAACTATCCAGTCAACTTCAAGAACTTCTTGACAAAGGCTTTATCCGGGCAAGCTTCTCTCTATAAGGAGCTCCATTATTGTTGTCAAATAGAAGGATTGATCGTTCAGGATATGCATTGATTATCAAGAGTTGAAAAAGCATGCCATCAATAACCGATATCCACTCTCGATTATCGATGACCTGTTCGACCAACAACAAGGATCCTATTACTACTCAAAGATCGATATGAGATCCAACTACCATTAACTTATAGTGCAAGAAGCAGGCATTCCAAAGACAACAATGAGCACTCGATCCAGTCACTATGAGTTTCTAGTTATGCTATAAGAACTTAACGACAACACTAACCAAAGTACGCTAATTTTTAGGGCTTTCAGACTGTTAGCAAAGATTCATCGAGAACTCCTCCAAGATAGCCAAACCTCTCATTGAACTAACCTAGAAAAGTAGATAGTTTGACTGGGGAGACAGACAGGAGTTTGCCTTCCATAAATTGAAACGATTTTTGTTCATTGCACCAAATTTGTATCTTCCAGAGAGAACGGAACACTTTGTAATATTTTGAGACGCCTCTTATCAAGGGTTAGGATGCGTACTAATGCAAAAGAGTAAAGTTATTGCATACACATCCAGACAACATAAGCCAAACAAGACCAACTACACTACGTCCGACTTAGAATTGAGAGTTGTAGTGTTTTCCTTAATGATTTGGAGACACTACATCTATGGAATGATGTGTGTTGTGTTCACTGTCCACAAAATCTTTCAACACATCTTCGACCAGAAGTAGCTCAACATGAGACAATGAAAGCGTGTATAAATGCTAAATGATTACAAATGTGAATTTTGCTATCATCCTCGTAAAGAAAATGTCATAGCAGATGCTTTAAGCAGGAAAGAGACAGCAAAGCGTTTTCATGTGGATGCTCTAACCCTAACCACCCATTCCAATCTGACCACCCAAATTTGAGATGATCAGCTGGTAGCACTCAAACCTGAGAATATCATGGAAGAAAACCTGTGAGGTATGGACAAACAGTTCGACCTCAAGGAAGACGAGACATGATATTCCATGAACCGAATTTGGACCCCAAAGTTTGTTGAAGTCAGGAGTCTAGTCTTATATGAATCACGCAAGATGATATATTCGATATAACCTGGATCAGATAGGATGTATCTTGCTCCTAAAAAGTTGTATTAGTGGCCCAACAATGAAGGTAGAGATTGCCACCTATAATAGTAAGTTCTTGACTTGCTCCATTGTCAAAATAGAGTACTAGAAGCCTTTTCGTCTACTACAACAACCATCAATCCATGAACCAAAATTGGATCAAAAACCATGGACTTGATAATGAAGTTTCCAAGAACTTTAAGCGGTCATGAAACCATCTGGGTAGTGGTTGACCGTTCGATTAAGTCCATCCATTTACTAGCCATCAAAGAAACTAACAAGATGAAGAAACTCACTAGGTTGCTCTCTCAAGGAGATAGTCAGGATACATAGTATGCTAATATTAATCATCTCGGAACGAGATAGCAATTGCGGAAAACCCAGACCCGTTTAACGATATTTTTTAGAACCGGAAACCGGACCGGTATATAGCAACCGGGTCCGGTTCGGTTCCGGCTAAAGTGAGTCTAGAACCGAAAAACCTGGAAATAGGAAAGTTGGTAAGGTAGAATCGGGTCAAATGGGTTTAGAACCGGAAAACCCGGATTTTTTTTTTGTTACCTCAATCGCATAATCTTTCAACCGCTATAAAAAAAATTAACAAACAAAGAATTACATTTAGGTTATTAGGTTATTGACGACATTGATTTATTTAAAAAAAAACTAGGTATAACAAAGTTAGTTTAAAGAAATTACATTTAGGCACTACAATAGTCCAATATGAACTAATATCACAGTGACTATTGGATAAGGCACTTCATAGTTCATGATTTTGGAGAAGGCACTGTACACGATTGATACTAATATTATTATTATTATTATTATTATTATTATTATTATTATTATTATTTTAAAGAAATTATGTATTTGACTGTTGGATAATTTATTTTGGGTTGTGTGTTTTAATTTAAGATATGTGGAAATTCTAAATTGTTAGTTATTTATTTATTTGCAACCACACTAACTTGTCTTTTTGTATCTTTGACCTTGAAGGTTTCAACTTTGAAAACTTGAACATAAAAGCAAGAGACAATTTTTTTGACATTAGCAATCTTTTAATTTTCATGTTTTGTCAACATCTCACATCTTCTCATTATAAATAGGCCCTTCCACCTTTACATTTTCACTTAACTTATTATTCTCTAAGTTGAAGGTTTTGAGTTATTTTTCTTTTCAAGAACATTCATGGAAGCTAACCGCCCAATTCAAGTATGTTTCTTTTTAATTTTTTGCAAATATGCATTTAAAGTAATTGACTAATATATGTCTTTATACTTCAACTAGGTTCCGTTTTAAATATATTAGTTTTATGTCTTTGATACTTCATTTTTTTACATGCTTTAAATCTACCTAGATTTTTTTTTACTTAATTTGTTTAGCATTTGAATTTGAAGGAGAGGTCCACATGTTGGCAACATTTTGATATGTTCTGGGTAGTAGAAGATGATGGGGTTGAACGAAGGCAAGCAAGGTGTAAGTATTGTTTCGTTACACTTAAAGTCGATCCATCAAGACACGGTACAAGTAGTCTTAATAGACATTGTTGTACGTGTGCCAAAAATCCGACTAATATAGCTATGTAATAAGTTTTGTGCTTTTAATTTATTTGATAACATTTTTTTTAATACTAAATATGTTTATTTTTGTTTTATGTATAGAGATTGAAGATGCGTTAACTCGACAAGATGGTCAAGGAATAAGTGTTGTTTTGTTCTTAATTGTTTAAGAATTTTGATTTGAATTGTTTTGAATATTAGACTTTGATTTTGAATTGTTCAATAGGTACCATGAACTTGGCCCTAACCATTGTCCCTTTCTTCACTTGTATTATGTTCTTTTCATTGTTATTTTACCACAACATGGATAAAAAAAACATTCATTGAAATGATTATTAAAATGATGATCTGTATTTTTTTTTTTTAAAATAACCTGTACTTTGTTTTTGGTGGTGACATTGTGAAGAAAAAAAATAAAAAATAAAAAGCATGTTTAAGAAATTACGTCTTCATTCGCGGATCCAAGATAGTCGCAAAGTACATGTAGTCGTTCAAAATTTCAAAATCTCCCCAATAATTCTCATATTTATCTATCATATCTTTCCCAATTGAATAAAATCGTTTGTTTTTCGACCAAACCCGTATATGCTTGTAAATGCCACACACTTCTCCAAAAAACCGATTTGCCAATGGTTTTAAAGTCGTCGACACCAATTCTGTTTT